ACACAGAGGGCCCTGTGCATCTGGGGCATCTGTCTCATCTGGACTTCTGGGACGGGAACTGCTAGCTCTGGGGGTGTCCAAGATTTCTCCAAATCCCACACCTGGGGAAAGGATTAGGACAATGTGGCACTGGTGCATCCTGGTACTACACCCCCAAGTCCCCACAGCAAACACATGGGGACAGCCACTCCATCCACCACAGGACTGGGTCTGCATCTTGAGCTGAGCGAGGAACGCAGCTGTGTCTCCTGGAGGCCTGCCACGGGCAAGCTGCCCACGTGCCCAGTTCTCCCCCGCCCAGCACATCCATCCTCAGATCCCAAACAGCTGGGAGCCCCTGGCCCACGACCCCAGAGATCAGGGCTCAACAGCCTCTCCTCTCTCCCAGGGCCCTGGGTAGTAAGAAAATTCAGGGAAACACATTTTCTTTAATGACCACACACACCGAAAGCCTCCACCCACTATGGGAATTCCACATACAGGTGTAGGGCAGACTATTTAAACTGTAAAGGTAAAGCAAGCTGGGCCAGCTCCCCTCTCCACCCACGCGCTTCATAGCCCCAGCTCCCAGATGCTTGGGCAGGAAGTGTCACACCCGCAGATGGGTGACCTCCTCCCAGGAGGCCTCTGGGTGGACTCCAGGCCACAGGGAATATTTGTATGTTTTTAAATTTTTGTTTTTGAGATAGGGTCTTGCCATGTAGTTTAGGCTAGTCTTTGAACTCACTATGTAGCCCAGGCTGCCTCAGCCTCCTGAGTGCTGGGATTAGAGGCGTGCATCATCATACCCAGCCATCTTATGTACCACTGAACCACATGCCCAAGGAGGCCAGAGGGGGTGGGGGGTCCAGTACACTCTGCCCCTCACCTCCAGCTGGCCAGTGAACAGAAGCCACAAGAAGCAGGGGTCAAAGGCCCTGGGGCAGCTGAGGGGTAGGTTCTTCACTGGGCACCTGGCAGTACCCTGATCCCCTCTCCGGTCACTTGGTGCCCCAGAAACATTTATCAGGCCAGTACAGTCTGCCAGCACAGGAAGTGTCCTCTGGCTTCCTCTGTGCCCCCAGCATGACACCCCCACCCAGCCAAGGCCCTAAACAGGGCTCTAGAGTGGGGAAAGCCAGGATGGCTTACCCCCTCCCTGTCCCAGGATGTGGCACCTTCCTCTACTAGCTTGGGGTTGAGGGCAGGTGAGACCTAATGAAGGGAGCCCCCTGAAGGTCACCAACAGTCCCAGGATCCCAAGCGGGCACTCAAGGCCTCTAGCTCCTGTGCCCCACACATGCTATTTTCTGTAGCCCTCTCTTGGAGATGGCATCAGAATGACAGATCTGAAAGGCCAGGCTCCATGTCAAGGCCTTCTTTTGTGTCCACCTTGCAGCAGCTGGACTATGCTGAGTCCCCAGTGCCCCTCCACCAGGGCCCCCCATCAGGCACCGTGTGAGTCAGCCCCTGCTAGCAGGGCACAGACTTCCTCCCCCCCAGGCCTCCCTGGGGACACACGTCCCGGGCAGCAGCCTGCTCCCCCACTAGCCAGGGAGAGGGCGGGGGGGGGGGCGGACATCCGGGCGGGCCCCCAGGGGCTCCAGGCCTGGCGCATGAGGAAGCCCGCAGCCTGCCCCCCCTTGCCGACCCCTGACAGGGTGGCGTGGGAGGAAAAATCTTCCAGCCATCTGCTCAGCTGCTGGGTTTCCGGCCAGGGCAGGGCTAGGGCCTCCAGGAGGACCTGCTCCCCTGAGGAAGTGTCCCTTGCCCCTGATGAGAGGAAGGATACTAAGTTGGGCAGGTCACAAAGGACCAGCAGGACTGGGAGCTGTGACAGAGGGGTGCTGGTTGCCCAAGCAGGCGGGTGTCCAGATGTGGCCAAGGATGTACTGCCAGGCCTTGGACCTGCCCAGTCCTCGAGGGACTTCAAGCCCCCGGAAGCCAGAGAGCTGGGCGTCAGGGCTCCTGGGTCCAATTAGGCCTGACGCAGCAAGTGACCCCGGCTGAGTCACTTCCTCTGGGCAGCCTGCCAGCCTCAGTTTCCTCAGGGAGGGTGAGCAGCTGGGACCAGGCCTGCTGGGAACACCAGCTTGTACAACCCGGTGGACTCGCCAGGCAGCGCAGCTCATCGGCCAGATGGAAGCAGCTTCCTGCCACACCCAAACAAAGGTGTTGGACCCCCAAGTCCTGGAGCCATTTTCCCAGGAAACCTGGCAATTAAGTGCCATCCCCTCTTGGGGATTAACTGCAAGTGCACTTAGTGAGCTCTGCCTGCATGCTGAAACGGCACATGCCTTCTCTAAACACCTGTCAGGGTGCCGTTAGTAGCTCAGAGAGGCTGAGAACAAGCCTGAGGTCACACAGCCGGGGCAATTACTGCCAACAGTTTAAGTTCCCACTCCATGTCAGGCTCATATACTTCACACAATCCCTCAAAGTGACCCAGTCTCTTGGAACCCACAGAGCAGGTTCCAGAAAAGGCCAGATAACTTCTCCAAGGCCCCACAGCTAGAAGCTGACAGAGCTTGGATTTGGCTCCAAAGTCCATGCTACTGCAGGGAATTTAACAGGAAAGCCCTCTCATTTTAATAATAAAGATGATAATAATATGCACTGTATTGCCGCCTGCTCAAGCTCCACAGCTGTTACCACCCCTCCACAGTTGCGTATCAGCTTAACTGCCTCAGAGAGGTTAAGCAATCCACTCTAGGATTCCAGCAATGGGAAATCCTGGAGGAAATCAGCCCTCATGAGGTTCGGGGAACATAAACTGCTCCCCAAAGGCCTTTTTAGCAAAGTGAGTGACGCTGATCCAGAATGATTTCCTGCCAGGTCCCCTCATGCCTGGACAGACACCCTCTCCCCTCATCAGGAGCAGGTGGTACTGAATCTGGAAGCTAGGAGGTCCCTCCAAGTGCCTTCCTTCTGCCCCACTGCTGAGGAAGCTCCATCCCAGAGGTGGAGAACATCTCAGAGTGGCCTGGCGGGCCCACAACTGAGTTCAATTAGAAAGTTCAGAGACTCACAGGAGCAGAGGTAGGGGGAGAAGGAAGGAAAATGAGCAGAGCTACCCTTCCCAACAACAAAGATGATGACCATTCCTAAACACCCCGTGAATTCACTCAGTTATGGTTCTGTTGACACAGGAGAAAACTGTGCCCCGGGTGGGTAAGCAAGGAAGTGCTATCACCTCATGCTGTCCAAGTTATCAAACTCTTTCTCCTAGAGACTGAGGGAATTCCAGAGTGCTGCAGGACGTGCTCCAGGGAGCTGACAAAAAACATCACAGCAAGTGACAATGACACTGATGTTGGTAATGATAAAAATAACCCCTCCCACCACCCCCATAATTGTGTCCTTTCTCTGTGCTAGCCAGCAGGTACTTTCACATACTGGGTCATTAAGCCCCACTGAAAACCTGTTATTACCCCATTTTACAAAGGGAAAAAGTGAGGTAGACAGGATCACTTGCTCACGCCCACAGCTTCAGAAGAGGCAGAGGGAGAATTGAAGCTCAGCTTCCACAACCTGTTCTGGTTCCTCCTCTGCCACCCTGAGCCCCTAAAAGCCCTCGGACCCCAGCTGCTGATCCTCCAGGCCAGCCCCTTCCCAGCTGGCTGCCTCTATAGCCCACAGGGACACACACAAGTTGTAGGAATGTTCACCCTTTGGCTGGGAAGGATCTTCCCTCCCAGAGAGGGGCTGTGGGAAAAGGCTCAGAAAAGTGTTCTGAAAAACCCTTTCATCTTCCCCATTGGGCCCTGGCTTCTTGGCCCCTGATCCCCACTGCCCCAGGTGGCTCTGCCCTCCCACCCCCATCAGGACTGGGTCTCTGGCCCCTGCAGGTGCCGAGGACCCTTGAAGGTGTTTCCACTCTGCCAGGTCAGCAATGGGAAATCCGGACACAACTTGCACTCATGTCCCTGGAAGGCACAAGTACCCACAGCCCTGGCAGTGACTGACTGTAAATGAAGGCTGGATGGCCTGGCTGCCCCCTAAGGCCAGGCAGGCACTGGTAGGTATCAAGGGATGCTCATTTCCCAGGCAATGGGGTGTGAGTCGAATGTCAGCCCCTCCTGTCACCAAAGCTGGACTTTGGTTCTGCAGATGTCGCCTTGCCAGGCCCTCTGCTCTGAAGCCCCCACCCACCACCCAATTTCACTTCCTTCCACTCAGCCCAGCCTGGCACGGCCCTCCCTGGAGGTCCCCAGCTGCGAGCAATGACCTCCTCACCTACATCACTGTGGCCCCGGGAATGGGGAAGAGAAACAGGAGAATGAGGAAACTTAAGAGAAAAGCAGCAGGACAGGCAGGCAGACCCCTCCCCAGTTCCTCAAATGTAGTACCCCCCCACAAAAGAAAAAAGCTCCCTGGCCAGAGGGAAGGAAGGGCGGGGATTTCTGCAGAAGGAATTAGAGGCCTCTGAAATACCGCTGGGCAGTGCTGACCTACAGGATCCACACCCCTGCTCTTGTTTCGGTGGGGGAATTCCCTGGGAGCCCCAGTCCAGAGACAGCTAGGCTCTAAGACGTCTAACCCTGGTGAACCCCCAAGTTGAGAGGTGTGCGTGCCCCGCTGGGCCCACCTGGGCAGCGCAGGGAGTGGGGAGAGGGGTTTGGCAGACCACAGGGCCATCCTCCTAGTCCCAGCGCTCCCCACCAAGGGCTCACCCATTCTCAGCCTCGGGTTGACTTTCACTTTCAAGGTAGCCTGAGTGACCTCCCCACGCAGTCACCAGGCGGAGGCTGGGGGGCCGCTCCCTCCCGTGGCTGCTTTAGGACGGCCCGCGGGTGTTGGCGCTGCCCTTTCTCAGCACTCCTGGCTGCCTGGGCTACCATTACATGCTCAGCACGTGTGTGGGGGGTGTCGCCAGAGCCAGGAAAGGGTTGCCCTCGGACACCTCCATCCGAGTCGGCGCAGGACAGTGCTGAGGCCGCCCCGGGGGTGCGCGGACCGGGAAGAACCGCGCGCGGGGCCTCCTCTTCCCCCTCCAGCCTCGAGGAGGGGCGCGGACTTACCTGAGAGGCAGGGGGTCGGGGCCTGGCCGGCCCATGGCGGCGCGCGCCCCCGGCCCCCCGAAGTCCCGAGGGGGGCGGGCGGGTCCCCGCCCCCGGCGCGTCCTCTGCCGCGCGCCGGCTCCTCACCCGCGGCTCTGAGGAGCAAGGCTCAGGCAGGAAACCCGGGCTCGGAAAATGGCCAGCGCCTCATCATTTCCGCCGCCAGCGCTTGACAGTCGCGGGAGGATGCGCCCCTGAGCCGCCACCGGGGAAACTTTGTTGCTGCTGCCGCCACCGTGGCCACTGCGGGCCGCGACAGTCCGGGCGGGCAGCCGGCCGCAGGCGGTGGCCCGAGCCCATGCCGCCCCGCGCCGTTATGTAAAGAGGAACCGGCTGCGAACGCAGCGCCCGGCCGGGGAGGGCGTCAGTCCTCGGGGGCGGGGCCTCGGGGAGCCCCTCCCCGCCCCTCCCCTCCCCTCCCCGCCCGCCACGAGCCGCCTCGGCGGCAGGGGCAGGGCCTAGGGGAGGAGTCTGACATCGGCTCCGCCCACCAACCATGCTCCTCGTGGCTGTCCAGGTCCTGGGAGCTCCTGCCGCGGGCCGGACGAGAGGCGAGGCCTCACCGAGCCACGCCCACAACATGCCCATCCGATTTTCCAGCAAGCAACCTAAAGCTAGGGGACGGCCAGAGACGAGGCACCCTTGGCCCCACCCACCTAAATCTACCAGTCACCGGGAGCCCCCGCGGGCGGGGCCACGTGGAGGCGGGGCATGGGCGGGCGGGCCGAGCCGCTGGGCCTCGTGGGCGCGCGCCCCTGTTGAATCCTCGAGCGGGGCCTTATCGGCGACCGCCGGGCCTGGCGGTGCAATAGCGACGGCTGCTTTCATCATCGCCCGAGGAAGGGGGCCCAGCCCTGATTACCCGCCACGCTGCCGCTGCCCAGCCGTCCTGCTGCGCCCCCCGCCCGCCTTCGGACTCCGTCCACACCTCAGCGCGGCCTTGGCGGTGTGTGGCCGTAGACCTGCCCCGGCCCGGCCGCCCGACCGTCCTGAGCGGTGTCTGCTTCACCAAGGAGCCCTGCGGGCTGTCGGCGACCGTGCCCTGTGGGCCTCCAAGTCTGCGGGTCCCGGGGCCCTACCTTGTCCTCTAGGTCTTCATGGGGGTGAGGGGAGTGGGGTGGCCCTAACCTGGTAGCGGCGGGCAGTCGCCGGCCTCCCCACACAGGCAGAGGGGCGGGGGGGGGGGAGCCTGCTCCCCTCCCCTCCCCTCCCAGCAGGAAGCCGGCCGCCCACGCCCCCCCAGGGCCACTTCAGCCCTTCCCAGGCCTCGGGCCACCAACTGCCCGGGGCGGGGGCCAGTGACTTGACTTCTCCATTCCGCAGTTTCCTCCGCTGTGAGGTGGAAACAGCGTGCCGAGCCCACTGGTGATTGGGAGGGTGCAGTGGGCTCACGTTGCCGCAGGCAGCACAAGCCCTGGCTCCTGCTAACCCACCAGGTGTTGCTGGAGTGTCTTCCTCCCCTCGGGCTGAGGGAAGGGGACCCCAGAAAGCGGGGATTTCCAGTCTCCAAGCATATAGCCAAGGCAGCTGTTCCACTGTGGGATCCCTGGAGTCCAACGGCCTTGAAGAAACCACAAAACCGTGAACAAATAAATGAAGGGGACAACTTATAAAGATGACAAAACAGTAACTCCATGGAGAGTAGGAAGGAGCTGTCTGACTACATTTCAGAGCAGCTAACATTTGAGCTGAGGGTCCACCCCCTCCCCTATGACAATGATAGGGCATTCCAGGCTAAAGGAACCGCAAGTGCAAAGCTCCTGGGGTGGGAATATATGGTGAGTCGGGGGAAAGCCAAAAAAGCAGTGGTGATATCCACACTGATCAGTGGGGCAGAGATGAAGTTGGAGAGGCAGGGCCATCACATGGTGTCTTCAAGGTCCAAGTGGGGAGTTGGAATTGTTTCAGGGCAGTGGGGAGCCACGGAGGGTTCTGAGCAGCAGAAGGCCCTGTTGGGCTTCCATGCAAGCTCCAGTCTGCAGTTGGCAGCCCCACTAGGAAGTAACATCTGAGGAGGTGGGATGAGGAGGGCAGGTTTTCAGGAAGTGGAAACTGATAAGCCCATATTATCTTTTTAAAAAATAATTTTTATCCCTGCCCCCTCAAGCCCCCTCCCTGTTATCTCCTGTAGCCCCATGCCCACACTCGTAGCTGCCTGGTGGCCTCTGACAGGGAGCAACCAGGTAGGCAGTCTTTGCCGAGTGCTTGCTGAAATCTGCCAGCCGCAAGCACTTTCCCTCTCGCTGCCCCAGGGCTGCTCTGCTGACTTAAATGGGGACTTGTGGTTCTTCCCCTTTTTAATCACAGTTCTGGCCTCCTCCTCCGTGGCTCGGCTGGAGCACCGGCCAGATTTCTCAGAGGCCCAAATGAGCTTCCTTCCTTGCTTAGGTCTCGCCCCAGGCCCCACTAGAGCCCAGGTTGATGGTTCAGTCCTGCAATCCTGAAACTGCTCCCTTTCTCCTCGTCTTTTTCTTTTTTCTTTTTTTTCCTTTTGGGTACCGGCGATCGAACTCAGGTCCTTGCGCTTGCGCAGTAAGCGGCAAAAAAACCACTGAGCTAAATCCCCGGCCCTCGTCTTTTTCTTTAGGCAGAGGGTTTGCACCTGGTAGCCCGCCCCTATCACGGGAATCCCCCCTTCTGGGCCACACGGGTCGGGGTGGCCCCACCTCGCAGGGCTGGAGAAAGCGTCACTCCGATTCCCAGCTGATTGGTGGCTCCGGAAGTGAGCGGGCAAGGCCAGCCTGGGCAGGTCCTAGCACATTCTTACTTCGAAAGAGGCCGAGGCCTCTCTCAGGAGCCAGAACCAGGCCCGAGGCCACAGAAGGACGAATAAATCGACAAGTCGATGCCATTAATATCCATATCAGCAATATTAATATCCACAGTTCACCAGAATCACTAACAAATCAACAAAAATCAATGCTATTAATGACAAAACTGGTACAGGATTAATAATAATAAAAGCACTAATAACCATCAATAATGTAAACAGTAGTTACAGGTCTAATTAATAACACTGTTAAGTATTATAGGATTAATAGTGAAGATAGAAGCCAGTCAGAGTGGCACACACCTAGAATCTCAGCTGCTTTCAAAATTGAGGCAAGGAGGCTTGCTGAGCTAAAGGCCAGCCTGGGCAACTTAGTGAGACACCATCTCAAAGAATAAAAAGGAAAAGAATTAAATAAAAGGGGGCTTGGGATGTAGCTCAGTGTTTTCTAGGCTCCATCTCCAAGACTGGTGGGGGCGAGTGAAGGTGAGTGACAATAGGATAGTAATAATAATTCATAATAATAGCAGCAGTAAACTGGTCTAGGATTCTAAACATAAATAACATAGGGCCTGGAGGTATAGAGTGCATACTTAACATGCTCAAGTATGTTTTTGGCTCAGCCAAAAATATATAACAAAAATAAAATAATAAATCTATTAATTTTGAAAGCAATAAATATAATTTTATATATATATACATTTTTTGGTACCAGGGATTGAACTCGGGTCCTTCTGCTTTCGAGGCAGGTGGCAGAACTACTGAGCTAAATCCCTGGCCCCTATAATTTTATATTTAATAAAATAATAGGGTAACAAATATAAAATAGCAATAGGATAGTCCTAAGAGTAATGATGATAAAGGTAACATCTTTGAGCTCTTGAGATGTGGCCAGCATCGTTAAAGAACTGAATTTGTGCAGGGTATAGTGTCACAGGCCTGTGATCCTAGCACTAGGGAGGCTGAGACAGGAAGATCACCACAAGATTGAGGCCAGCCTGGGCTACATGTTGAGTTCAAAGGTAGCTTGAATTACATACATATATGTCTCAAAAAACAAAAAAACTTTCTAGTAGCTGGAGTTATAGCTCAGTGGCAGAGCACTTATGTCTCGTGCATAAAGGCCTGGCTTTGATCCCCAGTACCACACACACAGTCCCCGAGTTCTTGCACACACCTCCCTTGAAAAGGCAGAGCCTGACCCCCTCGCCAGGAGCCTGGGAAGACTTAATGACTCGTGCCCAACAAATACAATAGGACAGAAATGATACCACGTGACTTCAGAGACCAAGTTATCAGAGGCACTGTGGTTTCTTGTTCTGTCTGGAACCCGTCCACTCGGAGAGGATCTGGCCACCATGTCATGAGCCGGCTCCAGCAGCTGTGAGAAGAGGCCCATGAGATGAGGAACCAAGGCCTCCTGCCACTGGCTGGCAAGGAACAGCCCCAACATGCACTATTTTGGAAGTAGGCCCTAGAGCCCCAGCCCTTTTATTTGGACAACAACTTCTTGAGACAGTTTAAACCACAGCCTGAACCAACCTGTTCCCTGGCTGGGCATGGTAGAGCAGGCTGTAATCCCCACACTCTGGGAGGCTGAAGCAGGAGGATTGCAAGTTTGGGCCCACCCTGGATAACTCTTCAACTTTGTGAGATCCTGTCTCAAAATAAAAAAATTTTTTTTTTTTTTGGTGCCAGAGATTGAACTTGGGACCTTGGACTTTCAAGGCAGGCAGCAGAACCACTGAGCTAAATCCCTGGCCCTCCCCAGCCCTTTTAAAAAAAATATTTTTATTTTGGGCTGGGGACTTAACTCAGTGATTCCACCGCCTACCTCACAACCGCAAGGGTCCCTAGTTTGATCCTGGGTGCAAAAGGGGGGGGGGGCTGGGGAGGGATTCAGTGCAGATGCCCTGGGTTCAGTGCCTAGTACCACAAAAACCCAAGATTGACTTGTTTTAAGCCATTAAGTGTGGGAGTAATTTGTTATGCAGCGACTGCTTGCAAATACAGAGCTCACAAAGGCTCTGGGATGTCTGACCAAGCCACCCTCCACTCATTAGGTCCAGAGGGGCCTGGGAGGGTTCAGGAAAGGGTGGCCTGGCTTTGGCCTCAGCTAACATAGGTTTGTCCTGGGCTAGAAGAGAATTACGTAATCGGATTCTTCCTCTTTTTCCCTGGCCAGTCACAGCTCCCAAGCCAGATTCCTGGGCGCAGGGTCTAATCTGCTGAGCTTAGGTGCTGGATGCCATGTACTCCTGCTTCCTTCCCTTCCCGTGGTCTGGGTTCTGCTTTCTGTCCTCTCAGTGTCTTCCTTGGGCTGTAAAATTGCCACAAGTCCTTGCCCTAGAAGAGAATGAAGTCCAACTGTGTTTATGGAAGTGAGCCTCAGTCACAGGCATTGTCTGATTCCAGCCCAAATGAAAGGCTGGCGATTCACTTCTCCGTTTCTCAGGCAGGGAGACTGAGGCACAGATCAGTGGTGTGTCCAAGGCCACACACCTAGCTGGACTCCAGGCCTCCTCCACTTCCTACGCCCCACTGATAATAATTCCGACAGTAATGTCAGAAC